TTTTGCCCCTCTCATTTGACGTATCAATTTATTGAGGTCCGGCATCGGGTACGCGTCCGACTCAGTGACGTCATTGAGTCGCCTATAGTCAATACACAATCGGGGGGAGCCGTCTTTCTTTTTCGCTAGAACGACGGGTGCGGCCCACGGGGATGTGCTTGGTTCTACGAGTCCCTGTTGTTCCATATCCCGTATCATAGTATCGATAATGATTTGTTTTGCCTGTGGGTAGGGGTATGGTTTAAGTGCTATGGGTGTTTGATTTTTAAGGAGGATATCGTGTTCGATTAATCTGGTGCGGCCCACCGTACCACTGAAAACGTCCGGGTAATTTTGAATTACTTCGGTTATTTTCGCGCGTGTGTGGGGGTTTCCGGTTATTTCCAAATTTTCGATAACTGGTGTCGGGCGGGGGGTGGGTGTCAGGCCCTTCCAGCACGCAGTTGTTCTCCTATGTGACCCTAAGTGTATGGTGCTAGTGGTGTAGTCCCAGGAGACTTCGTTCTCGACGAGGAAGTCGTGTCCTAAGAGAATGTCGCAGTAAAGACTTTCCAGAATGGCTGCGTTAAATGTGATAGTGAGTTCCCCTATTCTGGCTTCGAATGAGGAGGTACCACTTGTTGTGGTGGTGTGTCCGTCCGCCATTCGGACTTGGGTGAATTGTCCGTAGGGGGGTGTACCAAATTTGTGGGCAATGTTCGGGCTTACATATGAATTTTGTGCCTGTGAGTCGAGTAGGGCTGTTACAAAGCCTGACCTAAATTCGAGTTCGACCGCGGGGGTCGGAATTTTGTCGGGGCATATTTGCATAGCGTTATACGACGTGGAGTGCTCCGTGTAGCGGGGCAACTGGTTCTTAACCGCGAGGGCGGGGTCCCGGGTAGCAGTTTGCACCGCCATTACCAGGGCGTCCGTCTCGGTTGCCGCTGTGCTATGGGCGTGTTCCACATTTGTAGGCGAAAATTTCGAAGTAGGGGTCGTGATGTGTGGTGATGATGACCTACTACTCGCTGAAATTTTTTTTTTATTGACGAGGGATATATATGATGACGCCGATTTTTTTGATGCGCGTTTGAAATTTATATCCCCGTCGTGGTCGCCGAACATTGACGGTGATGGTGATTTGGTGTGTGTGTGAGCGGTTGAGGCGGCGGGTCGGACAGATGTCCGCCGACTCAGTTTCCGTTTCCCGAAGCCGATGTACGATCGGGACAGTCACTGTTCCAGTGCGGCCCCCCGCAATACCTACACGGGTTACGCGGCTGTGGATTATCCGTCGTGTTGGTGTGCGCGTGTGGCGTGTACGGTGGGTGTGAGCTACGCGACTGGTCGGCTTTTTTCTTAAAATTTGATTTTGTGTGTGTAGTAGAATAAGAGTAATGAGGGGGTACGCCTGCGGAGGAGTCCAGGACCCCGGCGATTCGTCGGAGGTCGGCAAAAGTCGTGGGCCGTTGCAGGCGGATATGCGTGCGAAATTCGTCGCGCGTGAGTCCGGCGATTGTACTGACTAGCTGTGCTTCAGTTAGCCCTGTTGTAATGCGGCGCGCCAGTTGGTTTTTGGCCAACACGAATTCCGTGAGTGATTGTCCGGTGGTTTGTCGGACTGACACTATATCGGCGCGCAGTCGGGATTGTATGTCCGGGTTATCGAATTTTTGTAAAAACTCGTCGCGGAATTCATCCCAGGAGAGGTCCAGTATTTTGATGGTATTCCACCAAGTATTGGCTGCATCCTTAAGCTGCGTTTCGACTGTGCGCGTCCACCCCGACCTATCTATACGCGCTTGGTATAAAATCGAATCGGAATGGTGTATAAACCGTGCCGGGTCTTCGGTTGTTGTCCCGTAGAACTCCGGTAGCGAGAATCTCGCCGTGCGTAAATCCTCGTATGGTATCAGAATCGATTGTTCCATTGTGTAGGTGAGTGGTGTGTGTTGTGAGTGGTGTGGGGTCGACGTATGCGTGAAATGTACCGATCGGCTGTTGTGTGAATTGCGCGCGGCCGGTTGTTCACGTGCCGCGGAGAGGCTATCGCCGTGTTCCGTGGTGTTCGCCGTAAGCGTGGTTTTGGCCCTACGTGTGTTATCGGTATGTGATCCTGACGACGTATCATATTGCTGATGTGTAGGTTGGGACCCATTTGTGTGTCGATCCGGCGTCGGTTCTATCGTGCTGAGCTCGAGTCGTCTCATGGACTCCGCTATGCGGCGTTGGCCGTCGCATATGCGTGCCATGCAGTCCTCGAGCATGGCTAGCCGCGACTCCAGACTCGGTTGGGTCGGCTGGTTTATTTGTGTTTGCATAGCCCCCTGCAGTATGCCGCGCGCGGTTTGGAGGTTGTCCAACGTGTCGTGGACTGCCGGGGACGGCTGCATGTGGTGGGTGTTTTGGGGTTTTTTTTCTGAGGGGGTTTCTCCTGCTAACGTCTCGGTGGGTGCGCCGACGGGCGTTTGATTTTCGTCATCCGAGCCGTCCCCGGTTCCCTCATCGGTGTCCGCTGAGGGGAACCGAACGGTGTCGGCCTGGATGTT